CCTTTCCCAAATTTTAATATCGACTCAAAATAATTTAAAAAGACAAATTACAATAAAACGGTTTATTATCCAACTATCAGAAATTTCACAACATGCCAAGGAAGAGAGGAAGGAGCAATTAAATAATCAAAATTATAAAGGATTTTAAAAATATATATAAAAATGAGGAATATCGCACTTCTAACAATCTCTGTGAGTATTGAGCTAAATTTAAAGAATCCGTGCTTCTCACATGTACAGTACAACTGTATGTGGCCAGCTCATGCGTCGGAAAACCTTCTGATTTATTCGTGTATGCACCAGATGGAAAAACAAAAAATATCGTGCGTCCACAAGCACTCCAATAAGTAAATAGAATTGAAACGACACTTTGAAATGCTTTCCCGATGAAAATTAATAATAATAATATAATAATAAATTTTTTAATAGAAATGATAAAATGTAAATTTAATTTTATCATAATGAGTTTGCTTGAATTTCGTTTCTTCTGAAATCGCAGCAATGCGCGACAGGTAAGCTAGTCTATTTATATAATTTAAAATATATGCTCTCCACCTCAAATTAGTAGTAGCTTGCCCCTGCATATCATACTTTTCCTTTAACAATATAGTCATGCCAGTCATCTATTAACTGCTTTCAGGGGAAAAGTTTTGAATTGAAATAACATGACTTCCAGTTTGCATCAGAAGTTCATATATAGTTAATTATTTTTAACTCTATGTCCTTACTCTTATAAATTTCTCTACTTGGACCTTGTTTGTTAATAGGACTTATTACACTGATGTAGTTTCCGATTAGCAAATAGAGGAGATCTTAGTCAAAAAGCCAAAACAAAATATCTTTATTTTCAAAGGTGAAAATAAAGCTATTTTGTACTAACACAGAACCTGAAGACAGACTAGTACTAAATTTATATTTTTTTGTATGCATGCTTGAAAATTCTTGCATTTTTATATAGTTTTTCCTGAATCAGATGTCTACCATTTGCATATGTAAACAGATACCATATTCTGTTTTATCCAAAATAACCTTTCAGTTCAGTGCTGTAAACTGAACTGCTTCATTTTTCCAAACTTAAGTAAGGACTATATTGAATATTGAATTATTATAATAATTATAAATAACATTATGATAATTCTACAACTAAAATGAAGCATTGTTTATAAGCAGTAACAAGCTCATTTTTTGTGGAACGAACTAGGCTTGGTACTTGACTTAAGAATTACAGAAAAGATGTATTCCAAGACTGATTTGATTGCAACTAGAAAAATCTTGAACATAGAACCTGAAAAAACAGAACACTTTTGCATGCTTTTTACAAAATAGTAAGACAAAATACAAGCATTGTCAACTGCAACAATTATGTCTCTCAAGCATAACAAAGCTGTGTAGCGAATATTTGAACAGAACCTTAAAACTTCACTTATTTCTACAGCTTTTACAATTTATTATTCTGTAAATGATTTGTATTTATCTCTCTTAATTTATTTAGAATACAATAACACAGAATATTTATTTATTGACTTTTGTAAGTATAGTAAAACTATAAAATATTACATCATTCAATTTTTTCCTTCACTGTTACAATAAAGTAACAACAAAAAAAAATTATAACACATAGAACAGCTGGAAATTTTTAAAGCGTTCAGAAAGGGAACAGCCATCAATTTCAAGGAAACAGACTCTTTGGCGACGGCGTGGAGGGCGTATTATGACGTATAATAGATTATGACGTATAATAGATGCGCACCATATATGCCTACACTATTATGACGTATAATGGATGCGCGCCATATATGTCTACACTATAATATAAACATCGGATTTTTGAAGCAGGAAACCAATTCCACGAATAGTTTTATTAAGGCCCTGCATCGGACATGCGCATAATTGCGATGTTCGATTTTTTTGAAATCTTGGAATCGAACCTGAGGATGACCGGTGAAGACGGTAGAAAACGTTCGTTTTTAAATTGAATTTTGCTGGTATATTGGTAATTTTGTGGTTAGGTTCTTAATTCTCACACCAGTATGATGAATAATTGTTTAAATTATAACACAATTAACATATCATCAAATGGATTGAAAAAGTTAAAAAAAAATGCCTGTACAATTGAAAATATAAAAAAGTAATTCCAATTTCACAATGGTCTTTGAGACCGAGATTAGTATTTTTATTCCTTATAATGATGATAGTACTGGAGAATTAAAAGAACTCTTATCTTAAGGTTTTTGCTTTGACTGTTTCAATTTATTTCATTCTTATTAACTGTTACTTACCTATTTTAACTTGTGAATGCATTGAAGTTGATAAAATTTTGATATTTTAGTTGCAATTTACTATCTATGAATATATCTACCATATTTACTTGAATACTGTAGAAGATACCATCAAATCTAAGATGCATCTTAATTTCTCATACTCATCCATGCATTTCTTTTTGAAGAAATATAATTCAAACAAATTTATTGCACAGTAAAATAAGTTATATGTTACTGTTTCATGCTAGCAAAGTCAGAAACCTTTTCACTTTGTGTTAGGTTGTTGTAAATCAAAACTGGATTTGATGTTCATATCTTTCACATGCAATCATCTTAAGTGCCATTTAAAGCATTGGAAATGTAACATTTCTTGAAAGAGCAATGCACAACTTTTTCAAGGATTTTAATCCAAGTACTTACAATATTATTATAATAGACTAACAACATTGAGCTAAGTTCATCTCTTTAACATTAAAAATTACAAATATTGGTTTAAATTAATTAAAAAAAAAAACACTCAATGGAATTAGTGACTTCTAGTTACAGAAAATAAGATGCACGACACTAAGGTTACTAATTACAATGTATTACATCAAATAGAAGATGCACCCAATTTTCAGAAATCCTAAAACTCGAAAAAGTGGTCTTACATTACAGTAAATATGGCAGGCCTATATTGTTTTGTAGAAAGACCATATATTGGGTGCATTGCATAGTAAAACATCCTTAATAGAAAAAGATAAGCAATCCAACAAGAGCCCATTTCATTTGAAATAAACTACGTCATTGGCTCGCTTATCCAGCCATATTAAAGTGCTTAACCAAACAATGTGCTTATAGATTGCACGGAATTATATTTTTATCAGTTCAATAAATAAAAATGTAATTATATCAATTGAAATTCATAACTTATTTAATATTTTTGATCAAAAGTAGTGTAATAATATAAGTTACAGTTCTCTGTGGTTAAAAGTCTGCTAGAAAATGCAACACTTGGGCAATATGCCTAGGGGAATGCCAACCGGGAGGTCTTTTTAAGGGTAAATGGCCCCTATTCGGGCGTTACAGATATGGAGAAAACCCAGAAAACTCCACATGGTCAGCCGATCCGAGCGAGGTGCAAACTCACGACCAAACTCCCAGTGTTCAGGGAGTGGAATCGATTGACCACTGGTGGACCTTAAGATTATTTGATCAGGGGTGATTTTTGGAATATTGAGTTCATTAGATAATCTCTCTCTATATATAAGCATTATAGTTACATATCCTATATACAGTATACTGTACAGTTTTAATTATAATATTTATTTTAAGAATTTGAATAAATATCGAAATTAAAGGTTTAGTATGTAATATACGAGATGGAAATTAATATTAAAGATTAATTGCAGTTTACTAACCTGTAATTAATTATTAATTTATAACAATTTATTTATAACGGCAAGGAGCCATTTTATATTAAAATTTAAATTTACAGGTCTACGTTTAATCGATATTTATACTCACGCTAGCGGTGTAATCGCCGATTTCTGCAACGTGAACAACATCTTGATTCCTTACAAATATGAATACGAGCTCGACTTTGAAAATCTCCTTCCTCCTGCTCGATAAACCAGCTCGGCTGGACGATATTTTCGATCTCTTTAAAAAATGCTGATTGGACAAGCGGAGAAAAGTTCATTTAGACAACCAATAATAGAGCCTGTTTCAAAATATGGATGAAATACATTTAAAGTATTTGTTAACTTATTTTGAGTCAATTTATTTTATAAAAAATATTATATTTATAAAACTTTTTGTTATGTAATAAATATTAATTATATAAAATTGCAATTTTCCGCAAAAACTTAAATTAGAATATTTTTATTTTATTTTTTTATTTTTTGATAAATTCGCCAGAGAGCAGCACTAGGCCGGCATTGGTTGTAATTACTGTATTTGTTTTGGTAACGGCGCGTGTTTAGTGTTTACAAAGTTATATATTTTAAAGAAATTTTACGGAAATCTGTATACCATAATCTTTATTATATAGCATAATTTGGAAAGCTTGTATTATAAATTTAAAATTTTAATAGCTACTAAAGTAATGGAAAGTAATGATAAATTAGAGTCTGAAGAGAAACCAAGCAGTTCTGGTGATGCATCAGTGGATAAATCATCAGATACAAGTAGTACAGTTTCAATTAGTCAAGCTGCTAAGAAGGCACCACCAAGAAAAGGTAGTCATACTATTGTTAAATCACGACAAATTATGCAATATTTTTAAATTAATCATCACATTTTACTTCTTGGACTGCAATTTTCAACAATTATACACCTATAAATTCCCACTGTCGTTCATCTGTATGTCTGTCTGTTCTTCCCTAATCTCGAGAACAGTGTTAAATTGATGGTTAGACTGAAGCAAAAGGTATCCAGCTAAAAAAAGGTCTTAAACTTAATATTAACGAATAGACATAGATATATCTAGATGTAATTTTACACAATGATGGTAGCATTTATGATGGTAGCCAGTATGTGCACTTGGGCCAAGTCTTTGACTGACTAATACCAACAACAAGTTGCCAAATATCTTTGGATATCCTGGCTTGTACAGCATTCATATTCCAGTTTGGACCAGAAGTTATGGTATGTCAATTCAAAAATTTTCTCCTGAATGGAATTAGATAAGGACACCGTCAACTGGGCTACTGCTAACTGGGAACTGGACATCTGTGCAGCTCCTAGTTGGCAGTGAACAATAAGAGTGAATAATTTAAGAGTGAGCAAAATAAGAGTGAACAATAGACAAAATATAAATTTTGTTGTTTTATTTATAAAAATTGCCATTCTTTTTTATTGATGCTGGTAAATTTAAATAAGATATTTTTAAGAAACAAGTTAAAAGAGTGATTTTGTAACTAGCAAACATACTTATATGTATTGCATACCTTATTTATTTATTTTTACAAGTAAATAAAAAAGTCTCAAAGGACAGTTGATATCTACTGCCAAAATTAACAAATATATATAAAAACAAAGCCAACAATTACATAAAATTAAAAATACATTACATTATACATTAAAATGAAAAAGTATAGAAGTTTTTTGAAATAATTTGTTTTCAAAGAACTGCTTTTCTTTAATGTGCTTTGTTGACTGCTTCTGACATAAAATAAGTAGCAATGCTAAAGTGCCAGTACATTGTTTCAAAACATTTTCTTTTTCCTAAGTTGGAAGTAACTTGTAACTCGTAGTTCATAATTTATAACTCATACCTCATAAGTCTTAACCATATTTATATTTATATATTTTTTACCAATGTTTACAAATTAATAAATAAATAAACATCTGCCAAATAGTATACTTGTTAAGCTTGCAAAAATGTTTAAGTTTCTGTTGCCCAGATGACAGTCACCCAGTTAACTGTCACCTGCTTGTGAATTGCCCAATTGACCATCACTAAGTTGTTGTATACCCGGTTAGATAGATGACTGGCTTGACTACATTTTTAACAGGAAAATTATGATGTACAAGGCAAAACACTGCTAAAATTGAGAACATTGTGACAAAAAATTGCAGCCTGGCTTGTAATGATGTCACAATAAATAATTACAGCTGTCCCTTGATAATCCGACAGGTGTGGGACCAAAGGGGTGTCGGATTACTAAAAGCGTCCGGATTACCGAAAGTGATTACATATTTGGCATTGTTTTGCTAGCAGTAGCCTACAATACTCCCTACTCCAACTGTTCGAACAGAACTGCTCACGGAAAACACACTAAATGTGTGTCATCGTGTAAGAATTGGGTGGGGAGATTCACGTTGCGACATGCTTCTGTGCAAGCAGACAAGTAATGGGGACGGGTACCTTGATGGGAGGTGCGTTGGACTACTGAGCATGTCGGATTACAAAACGTCGGACTATCAAGGGACAGCTGTACTCGTTATATTTTACTTATCATCAGTAGTTCATCACTTTATTGTTTTTTAGTAAGCTTTCAGAGGATTAATTGATGTATTTCTTTTATTGTAGGTAGCCCATATGTACTGTTTCAGTAGAATGGTATTGATTTTTGCCCTAATGTAGTTGTGCTGCTGTTTTCATAAAACGTTCACTTTTGTCTTGTTTTTTGAAAATCAAAAGCTTAGCTCTCTAATTTGTATATTAAAGACATTTGTATATTGTGATCTCTTGGTAACTGTTTACTATGCATCAAGATAAGGGTTATAAATTTGAATAGATATTGCTGAGGAATTTGCCTGGATGGCAAGAAATACAGAATATTTTTGATGAATTTAAGAAACATATTACATGAATAGATATGCAGAGAATTTGATTATTCAATTAATGGATAAAAACAATAGTAACCAAACACTTGGAGAAATGGAATAAAGAAAAAATTTTCTTAGCAGATAGTTTAATGTAATGCATGAAAAGGATTTCAAATTTAAAGATTTTAATAATTTGATAAATTAGTTCTTTCTTTGCAGAAATTACAGCTTCTGTAGAAAGAATGTTTTCACTCACAAATTCCTTGTGTTCAAAAGCAGGTTGAATTAAATATTGAACCCACAAAAGCAATGCTTCATAAGCAAAATTGTGACTTGCTTATGAAAAGCAATGTGATAAGTTTTATGATAAAATTGAAAGTGACCAAAACTTATTAAACAATATAATTTTATCTGAAAAATATTGACCTTGGAAAACCTACATGAACCTAAGTATTACATTTCAATTCATATTGTAATAAAAATAACAATTTTTGTTATTAGGTTTTTAAAAATAAATTCTTTTAGAGAAATTTACATATGCCTATTCTTTCCTAAGCCACCAAATCAATGGCACTAATAATGCATTAACAAGTTGTTAATAACACTCATCTATATTTCTTGATGGATTCATAATAAGGAAGAGTCTATATTTATCAGCTATGGCTCCCACTGTCCCATTCTAACATTATTATATTAGAATGGGACAGTGGGACAAGAAATTATGGTCAGCTTATGTTATAATTGACATCTAAAACTCATAAATAATTCCACATAATATAGGGATTTTGTAAATAAAAAATTTTAATGCTTAAAATAAGCATTAAACATATAGCCTTATTTTTATGTTCAGAAGGAAAATTCTTATTCCTTGAATTTTTCTTAGAAATTCTATATTTTATGATTAATTCTGTATATAATAACCTCAAATATCTGAGAAATATATATGATCCTCAGAAGCCCCTGAATATTCAATGAAATTTTACAATATATCAATATACAAAACTTACTGTATTAAAAATTTTTTAGTTTTTGATAATTACTACTGTTTATATTTATCTTTAAACTTTTATTATTTTTCAAAGGTGTAAAACAGGAAAGATGTTATAATTACTATTTAAAATTTTTTTCACTTTCAAACTTTTTATATATAGTTATTTATTTAATTTCTTTGAGATTATTTGGTTGAACATTGTTACAAAACTGAAAATAAAGCTATGTAACAACAAAGATACTGATAAACTAAAATTCATTGTGCCGCAATTTGGAAAAATTGTTGTAGACCTATAAATTCCAACTGTCGTCTGCCTGTTCTTCCCTTTCTCTTTCCTTAATCTTGAGAATGGAGTTAGATAGATGAAAGACGAGACCAGATATGGAAATCTTAGGAGCAGGAGGCTGTGATTAATTATATAAGAACATTCAATAGAAACCAGAAGTCATGTTATTTCAGTTCAAAAATTTTCCCCAAAAGGTGTTTGATAGATGACCGACATGACTCTATTGTTAAAGGAAAAGTATGATGTACAGGGGCAAGCTAAATTTGAGGTGGAGAGCATATATTTTAAATTAAGTAAACCCAAATATATAAAATTACTTGTCCTGACTGAATGACTGATTCATCATCGCCCAGAGCAAACCACTGAACCTAAAGAGGTGAACTTTGGTACACAGTTAGGGTACGACATAAAAACACACACTAAGAAGGGATTTTTTGAAATTCCCTCGCAGGGGGAGAGGGAGAGGATTAAGGTTTAACCAGAAGAACGGCTTCTACTGTACTATTTTAGATGCAATTTTTTGTTTTTATTTGCATTTTAGTAGGGTATACCATGAGAATGCACACTAAGAAGGGATTTTTTGAAATTCCCCCATGGGGGGCGAGGTTTTATCTTAACCGGAAGAACGGCTTCTACTGTACTATTTTAGATGCGATTTTCCATTTTCAACTACGTTTAATTTTCATTGAGTACTTAGATGTATTAAATTGATAACATTTCAGACATTATTATAAATATTTTTATCTATTTCGATTTTTTAACTAAATGTTCAAACCGTTTTAAATTTGAATTTGTTATTGCATATTGGTTCGATTATAGAATGATTGTAAACGTTCCAGAAAATTAATCAAATTGAAAACAGTTTCTTGGCAATTCTCATCATTCTCAGTGGTAGGTGTTATATAACAATTACTATGGTTGTTGAAATACAGAATATAAATGAGGTTTGCTTGCAAAATCCTCGCGGGCAAAGCCGCAGGTAACAGCTAGTTAAATATATGATTAAAAATTGCAGCTTGGTATTGTGACGATATCACACTAAATAATTGCTCGTTATAATTTCAAACACTTTTGTTCAATTTATTGAGCAAAATTCTTTCATCCAAGATTAATTTGATGTTGCTGTTATTCCTGTTACCTATATTCTACAAGGAATATAGAAACTGAAAAAAACTGAACTGAGAGCGTGCTGCCATTCATAGACATAGTAGAGAGTTCTCCCATTACATGGGGTTAGTAGAGACCTTCACGAAACAGCTGTGCAAATGGTGTCAGTTGTAGGTTTATGTTTGAGGTTTCTCTTACTGTTATTTTGTTCTACCTGTGAAGTTCTGGGCGTCCTTCAACATCTCAAAATGATGAAAACGTTGAAAAAATCTGCCAAAAAAGTGTTAAGACGTCTGCGAGAAGATGTGCGAAGGAAACGTCTGGAACTTTGGTGAGTAGGTGACTCGTTCCTTTATCATGACAATGCCCCCGCACACAGCCTTACGAGTGACCCACTATTTGGCCTCTCGGGGATGGCCTATTGTTCCCCACCCTCTGTATTCACCAGACCTAGTCCCATGCAAATTTTTTTGTTTCCGAGAATGAAGAAAAATCTAAAAGGGAAGCATTTTGATGATGTGGAGACAGTAAAAACAGCTTTGCTAAGGGCACTGGATGATATGAAGGTTGAAGAGTTCCAGAGATGCTTCAAACAATGGGGAAAAAGACTTCACAAGTGCATCGCATCTAATGGAGAGCACTTTGAAGGTGACTGAAGAAACTTTGTAAAAAAGTTAATAAAGAAAGTTTTTATACAAAAAATCTGGTTTTTTTTGGGTTTCCCCACGTATATAGATACTGCTAATATTCATATTACTATGGCTGTAGAAAACATTCTATTCTGTTAAATATTTTCCATGCTCATTTGCTTGAAGAATTTTGAATAAATTGAATGAAAGTGCTTGCAGTTTTATTAATTTTAGTTTACTGTTGTTATTGTTGTCAAATAGTTTTATTTTTGGTAAATCCCTTTATATCATATTTTTTTACAAGTTTATTTTCACCTATAACATTAGTTACAATATTTAAGTTGAAATAAACTTTTTATTTGCCTTTTAATTTTTATTTTATTAGACTAACTGTTTACTTAATTAAAGTTTTCTTTGTTAATCATCAGTTTCTACAAAAAACATTAGAATGTAATAGTTTACAATTATGTAGGGTGTTAACTTTAACATTTATGCAGGCAAAAGAGATATTTCCAGCATTTTGAGTTTTCTGCATATGGTGCATTAGTTCTACCATTTACAGTAAAATAAATTAATTCATTCAAAAAAAAGGACATAATATTATGTAAATTGCATTGTAGTTCCATGGCAATATGCAAATTTTTCAAATATAAGAACAAGCTGCAAATTAAAATTTGATGCTGACAAGTCATGTAGTAGCACACATTTTTACCATCCCTATTACAGAGCCATCATATAATTTGCTGATTGGTAGAGCTCTATGACTATACTCATGAGCACTGTTGTGAAATTATTCTTTATGGGGAAACGAAAAGCAACATCTAGATTCTATGAGCTACACATACAATAATTCTGAATACAATATGCCATTTAAAGCAAACTGATGTCATCAAGCTAATCAGAAGTCCTGGTCCAGACCACCCTTGTGTTCATGACATTGAAGTGCAGTCAAACCTCAGGTTTTGAAAAATTTTGTTTACAAACAAAATTTTGAATGCCATATTTGTCCTGTTACCATATAATAACTCAGTTGCTGAACAACCTCCTTGGCAAGAGCCAGCCACAAATTAGAGACATAGATGGTCAACTCCATATACTTCCTGTATTAAAGAAAATTGACAGCTCAACCAATCAACGAGGGGACTACCAATTCAGAAGTTAGTAGTGCCAATATTGCATCACATCATGAAACAAACCATTGATGTTGTTGTTATTCAAATTAGATTTCAATGTGCATATGGGTAAGATACTATGGTAATACCTTTGTTTTCATTGACTTTGGTTATTGTCACTTTCGGTTTTCATCAATTTTTTTTGCCAAAAATTGATCTCGGTTTTTGTCAGCATGCCCACATGACCTCACTGCTAATTTTGCATAAGAAAAGAGCGACCCTTGCGTTTTCCTTCTTAGTGTGGCATTGTTTCTCGTGTGAGCATTATTATCTCGTTCCTCTAGCCAAACAATTCCATTGCTTTCCTTTCCTTTTGCTCCATCTAGGGACCAAAGAAAGTTTCCAGAGCCAGCAGCCTTTCGAAGAAAAAGGAACACAATCGAGTTGAAGAAGGAAATCATTGAAAAATACGAGAGCAACATTATGATGGCTGAAATCAGTCACTTTTATATTCATTTTATATTACTTTCTTATTGTTTTTAGTTTTAAACACTATGTTTATTCTCTATAAAATGTGTTTTTGGTATTATTTTGGAGTGTCTAGAACAAATTAATTGGATTTACATTGATTCATAAGGAAATAATTGCCTTGGTTTCAGATTTCGCTGATTGTTTTTGGACAGATTATCAACGAAAACTGAAGTATCTCTGTACTTCTGTTTTTTTGGTACACATTGCAATTGAATTTAAATCAAATTAATTAATAAAAACTGTATTAATTGACATTCATATAATATAAATGACATCTGTGTTAAAGGTGCTTAACTCAAATTAAATAACAAAACTTTATTAGTGTTTTTTTTATTGCTTTTTAATATGTATTTTCATTATAGGGAGAAAATACTAAGTGTTCAGTTCATGAGAAAATATATTTACATAGCTCGCTGTCTTAAACCAAAATTGACACAAGAAGCATGCGATTGCATTGCTGAAGAATATGCTCATTTGCGTACAATGGAAACTGAACATACAGATCTTGCTAGGGTAAGTTAAAAAGAAACATCCGTATATTTGATGCATTTCTAATAAATGAATGCATATTTTATATTGATTTCATTTAGACTCAACCTGTTACTGCAAGAACGCTTGAAACGTTAATTCGATTGTCCACTGCTCATGCTAAAGCACGACTCTCAAAAAACGTGGAATTAGAAGATGCACAGACTGCTATAGAATTAGTACAATATGCCTATTTTAAAAAGGTTATAGAGAAACCAAAGAAACGTCAGCGGCGTGATAGCAGTGATGAAGAAATGGAAGAAAGTGAAGAACGTATGAGAAAAAAGTAATTGATTATTAAATTTCTCAAAATTATATAATNATTTATTAATACTAAAGTATTTTTTGTCTGTCTTGATTGATTTGGTAATATTTCATGCAGACAAAGTTCAAGTCTATAGCACTTTTTGAGAAGTAATAGTTTTGGTTTTGGTTGGTGGTGATGGAACATTTTGCTTTTAAGAATGAATTAAGTTCAAAAACTGAGGTTTGATGAATTAGTATATATTCATGCAAATCCACATACAAACATATGTGAAAAGGAAGAAAAAGTAGTCTATAACAGACATAGAATTTTATGTTGTCATGACATGAATCCATTCAACTTCCATCTGCAACTGGTACAATGTGAACGGATGACATACAATGATTAGAGTTATGCAATGTAATGATAAATTCATATTAGGTTGAACCACAACTGCTGGAACATGTTTTATGGACTGATGAGGCAATTTTTTGAAATAGTGTTTGTGCATCATTGGGCACAGTGTGCTCCACAATGCATATTAAATATTTAATGCCAGATGCATTTTGTGTAAACATCTGGGGTGAGCAGCATCTTAGTCCTGTATTTATCACCAACACCCTAACTTGTGACCACTTCTTAGTATCCTACATAGAATGGTAAAAAAATACCTTGACAACTTGCCATTGGAGCAACTGTGGCATGTTTGGTACCATTGTGATGTCAATCCAGCTCATTCCTGGACAGATGCTCTGTGTCAGTAACTCAGATAACTGATATATATGACAACACAGCCTTATTCCATGGCCATTGCATTCTCTAGATTTAACCCCACTGGATATTTTCTTGTGGGGTCATGTGAAAGCATCAGTGTATGACAAACCCAGCAGTCCTATGTTGATATTGACAAACTGGAGAGTCAAATACAAGAGATATTTGGGACAGTGATGCCAGATAAGTGACATGCCATGTATAGTATCACTCTCAGCTATTTATACTTTTGTATTGCCATTAATTAATTAAAAGCAGTCATTTTGAACATATACTATAGCAAAATAACGTTAACTGTTTTTCTATTAATTTATGCAATATTAGTTTTTACCCTGTACAGTCAGAGATTCTCTGTACATTATACTAAATCATTTTAAAATGATTTACTTCCATTATATTTCCACTCTAAAAAGCTGGGAAAATTTATGTATTTTCTTGAAACCATTGTGCAATTTACAGATGTCTGTTTTTTTAATGACTTAATTTACTATAAACATTGCAGTGAAACTAATGCACTAGATTCATATACTTGTATAATGTGGAAAGATCTCTTTTGCTTCTGGATAAATGTTAAAGTGAGCACCCTGTATAATCTTTGTAAAAATAGACCTATATTTTATAAAATCATTTTTTATAATTTATAGTTTGTGAAATAGATATTTTTGGATTAAATTATTAAAGAACACGTTTTTTAAAGAAAATTTAATTTAACCAGTTCTAAAGCTAGAAGTATATGTTTTTTTCTTCACTATTAGGTGCATAAATAGACACAAGGCATTTTGCATCGTCTTTATTAATCTTCCATAGGGCAATACATGTTTTGGGCAAGGCCCCTCATCCATCGGCATTACATCTGGAATTTTCTTTAGGCTTCATTGTTACATATATATTTTTTCATTTAAAATTATGTATTTACAGTTAAAATTGTTAAAATATCATTGCAGTTTAAAATATATTTATAATTTAAATTACTATTACAGTGAAGGTTTTATGGTTCAACATTTAGCATTTTCCAGCATATATGAAGAGTATATGCTGGAAAATAATTTTAAATGAAAAAATATACAACGAAACCTAAAGAAAATTCTGGATATAATGCCGATGGATGAGGGGCCTTGCCCGAAACACATATCAGCCTATGGAAGATTAATAAAGATGATGTAAAATGCCTTGTGTCTATTTATGCACCTAGTAGTGAAGAAAAAAACAAATAAAGGGAGACACGGTCTCGGAAATACATAGCTAGAAGTATGATTAATCATATGAAGTGATAATTAATCATATGTTAATGATTAATTATCACTTGATATGATATAATTATCACTTTCAATATAATTATGTTATATAGCTGTAAGATGAAAATTCATGAAGATCAAAAAGAATTTTGTGTAATTAATGTTTTAACTGAAAATTTTTTAAAATCAAAATAGGAATTTCTGATAGATCATTAGAATATATAATGATTGTAACTGTGTTTAAGAAAAATTTTTAAATTTCACTTCTTTAAAAAATATTTATAAATTGTTTTTATTAGGAAATTCAGTTTTTATATTTAAAAAATTCTAATCACAAAATTGGATGGAACTTTTGGCAAAAGTATTATTGAGGTTACTCAAATAAAGAAATTGTAAATAGTTATCTCTAAAACTATTGTGTATGATTCAATGTTTCTTTTTATTTAGCACCAGAACTGCCTACCTTAGAAAGAAGAAATTGGTTAATTCATCTTCACTATGTTCGAAAAGAATACGATATCTGCAAAACTTTAATTAAAGAACAGCTAGATGAAACACAAGGAATGTGTGAATATGCTCTTTTTATTCAAGGTATAAGTACTTTTTAAATATTTAAATATGTAACAACAATCCACAAAACCTTTTTATAACAGTGTTGTGTCCATGGGCAGCCCACTATCTGGGGACCTTTGCGAGCTGGTGGTGAGACAGTTGGAGGAGAGAGTACTGCCCAAATTCTTACCATACATCAGTCTATACCAAAGATATATGGACGACATCTTTATACTTTGGAAAACCACACTGAATCTCGACGATTTTTGTCGTGCATGAACGACAATGCTTACGGCCTCACCCTTGGCTTAGATCAAGTTAGCAACTTGCGTGCACATTTTCTAGATGTTGACATACGTCTCAGGGGTGGCAAGATAGAAATGAGTGTTTACCGTAAACCGGACCAGCTTCCATTTTTCATCCCCGCAAACTCGTTTGACCCCTCTGCCTACAAAATTGCGGCCTTCCATGCCCTTACAAGACAGGCCCTTCATGCACCACACAAACGCTCGCGACACTCAGTTAGAGCTCTGCCGCATAGAAAAAAATTGCCATTGAGCATGGCTACAGTAAAGGCATGATTTGCGGTTTATCCCGTGCCAGCACTGACCGTCCCACATGCCGCAATAGCAACCCCCTGCCTACGCCGGATGGCAGCCACCAACCTGTTAAGAACGATAGACGTGCGGTCGTCCAGTTCAACCAACATTTAGACCCTCCCCTATACAGGGAGATTGCTTGCCGTAATCACACGAAGATCACGTACAGGAGAGCTGGCACTATTTACGACCTGCTGTGCTACGTCAAGGACACAATAGATCTCAACAGGGCCCCAAGGATATACTCCATTCCCATCAGGGACGATAGATTCCATAGAGATGTAGCTTACATTGGCTCCACCATCTGCTCAACACAAAAACAGTTACATAAGCATCAATCGGATATTAAAAATAACAGGCACACCACTGCCTTGTCGGCCTACGTTACTGACCCTGAATTCAGGCAGACTTCCAAAACACCAAAGTAATCAGACAGGCATTTCGTATTGATCACATCCATTACCTGGAGGCCTGGGAGATTTATAAAGCCAACATCGGGGGCATCTGCATCAACTTTAAACATGGAGAAACGATCGCGCAGGCGTGGAGATACTTATTTGAAGAATTCGAACTGGGACAAGTGGAGGGGTGAAATGCGATATGTGCATTATTTACATCTCGGGCATCATCGTTCCAACGGTCAAGAGGAGACACCGTTTAGTTACCACCTGAAGCAGACCTTGGTGGAGGTCGAAAACGTTCATGAAGATTGTTATAGGACACAACACTGTTATAAAAAGGTTTTATGGATTGTTGTTACTCAATGCAGTGTTAAGATTAGTAGTCATTTTGTATTTAAATATGTCATATTAATATTTCTAAAGTACAGAAAATTTTAAAATGAAGAAACTAGCCAAATTTTCAAAATGCAAAAGAGCTTTTAATAGCATTAAAATCTTTTTGGCATCATGGAAAAATCTTCATCCTTAGCATTTGTATAAAGGAAAGGAACATTTTTAAATATAACCTCAATAAAGAATTTAAAGTCTTTAAAAATACTTTAAATGGATTGATTAAAATTTTGATGAATAATTCAAAATACATTTTAAAAATGTGGGACTTCAGAACTAAAACAAATGTTTTATGCTTTTTTAGTTTTTATATTGTGTTTTAAATGTTGAGTTTATCAACTACTCTTATGATTAAATCTCATCTGTCTGATCATTGTCTAATTAAAAAAAATCAACACTGCTGATATTTTTACATTACTGACTCTGTTATATATAACAGGGAAAGTATGGTAATCGGTCAGAAAATGATTCAAGATTTTTACATTTTGGACTTGGGACCTTGAAACATCAAGAAATTCTAAAACATTTGGGTATTTTTTTTGTATGTATGGATGTTAGTGTGTGTGGGGGGAACACAGTTTTGTTCACCCTCTTTGAATTGAAAATTTCTGAAATTTTCAGGGAGGTTTGTGTCATAAGGGGGATTGATGCTATTAAATTTTGGTGAGGGGATAAAGAGGGGTTATGTGGCATATTTTAAATAAGGCCAGGTTTAATGATGATTTTACTCATTATTAGCATATACAGTTTTTTTTATAAAATCCATCTCTACCTTCATAAATTAAGCCTTTTGCCATTTTATAATAATTAAAAATATAAAAAGTTTTTAAAAAATATAACATCTGGTGCCATCAAAATTTTAAATGTTGCTGGGAAAGTTAAGCAACTCATTGCTGGATTTTTTTAAATTAATAGACAGAACTGTAGATGTTTTAATATTCTTTTAAAATTCTAAAAAAGAACTTGTCCTAATTAATTTCCAGGGATGGTTAAGATAACACAATGCTAGTGACAGTTGAGAATATCCAAGGAACAACAGTCATATGGGAAGAATTCAAAATCATAAAAGAGGTCAGTGATGATAAAGAAAAAGTTGAGATATTTAAACACAAGCTCAGAAACAAATGCATAAACACTAGAGATGTAGAAACTTTCCTGACATCATAGAGATAAGTCATTAAAAAAAGGATTTAGAACAAATTACAAGAAAACACAACTTGTTTGCATCAACAATACATGATTCAATTGTAAAATTTGATTTGAAAAATTTGGAGAATTTATGTTATTCTAAAATGGAAAGATAGAACACCTAACAAGGGCTCATAAATAAGACCAAAAATGTTTTGTGATGGTTATAAATAAAATTTCCAGCATAAGGATGAAAGGTTTGATAAAATTTGAATAAGAATGAAAATTTACTGATGAAAATTTCAATATTATAAACATGTGGATGTTGCTAGTTTACGTTTGATTTATTGCAAATGAAGAAGCTTTTTTAGTGGATTTCAATCTTTCATTTTTCCACCATTTCCACAGCATAGGTAATGATTCAGTCATTCTTACATGTTAGTACTTAAGCTGATGCTATAGATTTGTACTACTACTGTTTTGAGGTTATCTCCTGAACAAGACTTTTCTAAAACCTTGACATGGCCCAGTTGAACTTTGATATGACACTCCAAAGCTATTTGTGCTAAAATATTGCTCACCTTCCCTTTTCTGAGGTCATTATAATGTTCCTCTAATTTTACATGTTAATCTGAAATTTTGAAAACTTATTAATTAATAAATAATTAATCCAGTATTTTTTCCTGATATCAACTTCAACAACAGATAGTGTAATGCCAGCAATTTAAACTATTGTATTATGAGCAAATAACAGTTAAAATTATTAAAGCAGTGGTTAGGATCTATAACAATAATTGATAACATTTGGATGGTAACATGCAATTATTGAGGCTACTAGTATGAAAAGAAAGTACAGAAAGGTCTGTAGACAGGAATCAAATATAATGATAACAATGACCAAATCTTGATTACAATAAGTGCATTATAAATTGTCTGTTTTGCAACTGGATAATTCTCATAACATTAATTGACTGAGAACATTATCCATGATTACAATAAGCTGAATCTATTTTATATATCAGAAAAATTCAGCTTTGTATCAGGTCAGTCCATAAGTTCATGTGTATTTTTATCTACAAAAAAAATCAACAAAAAATCTTAATTAAATTTTATTTCAATCTATAATGTATTCACCATTATTTTGTACAATTTCTTGCCATAGTGATGGTAGCTTTTTAACCCCGTCTTTGTAAAATGATTTCGGTTTTGAATCAAAATATTCAGAAATAGCCTTTTTTACATTGTTCTCATCCTCAAAAGTTTTTCCTTTTAAAAAATTCTGCAAACTCCGAAAAAGATGATAATCACTGGGAGCAATATCTGGCAAATATGGTGGATGAGGTAAAATTTCCCAGTTGAAGCTTTTGAGTTGAGCAGTTGACGTTGTTGTCAGTTAGCTATTGACAGTTCATGTGGTATCCATTTTCTTAGCTTTGAAACTTTTCTGATTTGTTGTAGATGTCTATGAACAGTTCCATGGGATGAATTTAAACGTTCCGCAATTTCATCAACTGTTAAAGATGGTTCTGCTTCAACTAGTGCAGAGAGAGCATCATCATCAAAGTCAACAGGTCTTCCAGTACGAGCCTTATCCTTCACACTAAAATCATTATTTCTAAATCTTTCAAACCACTTCTGCGCAGTCCTTACACTAAGTACAGTTTGATTATGAACAGTATTTAATTTTTTGGCTGCATTTGTAGCATTTTCATTACTTAAAAATAAAAAGTATAAAACACGTCTCTTATATTCATCTGTTACTTCCATTTTAACGAAAATAAACAACTGAAATATTCCCAATTCTGAACAGTATTATATGAATGAGATTCAATTTAACACTTCAGTGTAAAAAGTATCACATTAGACTGGCATATTTAACAGCAAAACAAGATTTTTCTCAAGATCATAAAATACACACGAACTTATGGACTGACCTGATATATTGAGCTGAACATAAAAACATAATAATTAAGCTTAATTTTTGTGTTTGACTATTTATGTCATAAAAATAAAGGAAATTGTGTGCCAGACATATCTTTCAACATGCCACTTTGGACATACATACCATAGGTTTCCCATCTCTGCACTAAAGTGTAAACTAAACAGCAGCATTTATTATTTACTATAAAAAAAATTTTATTTCCATTTGTCTTACAATTCATAAGTTTCATTTCTCTTTGACACACTCATTTTACATTAACTAAAATTTTTTGCAACAGAATAATTTTTAAAATAACAATGCAAAGGTCATTGAAAGAAAGTATGATCCAGCACAAATTTCTCATTCAGTGTGCAACAGAATAATTTTTAAAATAACAATGCAAAGGTCATTGAAAGAAAGTATGATCCAGCACAAATTTCTCATTCAGTATCAGCATGTGTTTTTTTCACTGTGCCACAATTAGAAGCAAAGATTTACAGAGAAATGTTCTTAGTACTGTAGCAGATAAAAATCTCATAAAGCACAGAACTAACAACAATTGCAATAGTTAGAAGATATGAAATTCATATTACCATGGAAATTGCAAATGTTTTTCTCATTTTAGCAGACAATGTTATTCATGATTGACCAAAAATGATGCCACAATCAGCTTGTTGACCATTCCTGGCTTGCATCATATCCAGTAATTATAGCTGCATATTTTTGAAAATTTTTTTATAGTTTTTCATCTTTTGATTTCAAAACTGCTATTATTGTGAAACATTAAAAGCAAACCATTATGCTGGTCAAAAAAATTAGGAGGGCAAGAGATGTTGCATAGAAAATCATTTACAACAAATGTTGCTGAATGTCAGATGTTCTTGTTGTGTAAGATACAGCAATATGTAAAAACCGTGCATTGAACCAAATTTTTGTCATATTTTCATTTTTTGCACTTGTTACAATATGCTGATCGATAATATTTGCATCTACAAAACTGGAATGAATTTTTTTAGAGTATTGGGCTAACTTTAGTAGAGTGTACGATCATATGATCACTGTGAATGACCAGAACTCTTGCACATCTGTGTGGCATGAAATCAATTAGGTTGCTGATGAGATGTTCGGAAATTCTTTCCACTCCTTAATGAGAACAGTCACATGCTCCCATAATTGTTTTGAGCAGTTTAAAACAAGGGTTACATGCATAGTAAGTTGCTTCTAAATGTGTGTATATATATATAAAAAATGAGTTACTTTTTAAAAAAAATTTTTCTCATTTTTTAAAAATTTTAAAAAAATGCTCATTTTTTAAAAATTTGAAATATATTCAATGAGCAATGTTATTGGTTTAGGTTTAATATTAAGAGTGGAAGGAAAAATTCAAGAATCATTAGAACTATTTCAAACTTGTTCTATCTTGAATACCTCTGGAGATAATTTAAAACAAGTTGCTCGTTCTTTGTAAGTACTATTTCTTTTTATCAGAATATTAATTAATTAAATAAGTATTTTATTTTAATAAATATAATAATGTGTCTTGTAGAATATTATCTTTATGAAAACATATTTAATTTTTATTTATTTTTATTTTTAATTTTTGTTTAGAGTATTACTTGGAAGACATAAAACAGCTATAGAAGTTTATCAAGAAGCTGTTAAACTTTCTTCTAAAGATTGGGTAAACTATTTGCTTAATATTTTGTTATGTTATAAATGTATAAATGTTTGTTATGTATAAATAAACTCATTATACATAACAGTATGATCAATATTAAATATAGCTACTTAATAAATATGAAACAATATTGACTAATTAATATCTTTATAAATAATAATTATTAAAGTACAGTGGGATAAAGTATGATCGGTTAACAAACATAATTTATTCCAAGACTTTGTTCACTATCCAAATTGTTCATTAACCAATTATCGATTTACCATAGGCTTGTATGGGAATTTGATTAATTTTGGTGTCTCCAGAAATTAATCAAATTCTGGAGACCCCAAAAAATAAAAAATGCATACTTTCTTACTACATTTATTTATATATAATAATAAAAATACATATATACACAGTCTTGCATTTTTATTAGTCATGTTTTTTTCGTTTGTGGGGGTTAAAGAATCTGTCTAATGTCGATTGCTTTTCTCTCTTCTTCAAGATTTTTCAGAAGTAATTAATAGCATTGTAATTGTAGAAATCCCTAATCCTATTAACCTCAACGTTGTTTGGATGCCATTCTAAGTTTGTCGTTCTGACATTATCCCACTTCTTCAAAAAAATGTTTAATAGCAGATATCGACATTAATTCTTTTTTTCAGAAGAAAACATATCTCGCTGAGTTTCTTGGTGTTCTTCATTCAAGAGTTCTTGGCATTCTTCTGTCATCAGATCTGTTTCAGGTTCCATTATGAGCTCTTCAATGTTCTTTATTTTTCAGATGTGATTTTTGTTACTCTTTAAGCTACTTGAATCTTCTTGATAATACAGTATCTTTCTTACATAAGATTCTTGATTAGCTACAGTAGGCTGAAGTTCGATTGAACTGCAGCCTACTGTAGACCTGTTTGAGCCATACTGCCCAGCAACAACAGACATCAGACATTCTGCCACTCTCTACCTTTGTTATTATACTCTCACCTTTTGAAAATAAAAACGACGCAAAACTTAATGAGTGCCTGCCTGACAGTCATGCGAATACTATAAAAAAATTGTTTCTGTCAGAAAAATAAAAGGCTAGAATTACAAGGGAGAGTTTCAAAATTCGGAGGAATACTACCCAATCAGTATATACCAGGTTGAGTGTCAATGTCACATCTCCTGTGCTCCAAAAAGTTTTGAATTGTTGTCTGAAGACAAGGGAAGACCAATCAGTATTCATTATTTTACATTGCTTCTTCTTGTGTTTGTTCTGTGAGATGTTCGTTGTCCGAACATAAAAATCTTTCCGATCACCCACTGTATGTAAAAAGGATATAAAAAGTCAGTAATCATTTAATGAAAGTGCATGTATCTAATTGTATGCATTAAATAATGTATTTGTATTAATTCTTTGTTTGCATGATTATTAGTGAAAATTTAATGTTTAATTTCTTCCATATATTTGTTTAAGTACACTGACTGCTATTAGATTGTGTACAATCCAAACTACTCATTGCTCTGAACCATTATTTTTCTATAAGCTAAACACTAAATTTTCGGAGGCCCAATTTTTGGAAATGTGTGAGAAGTGGGTCCTATTATTTGGACAAGGAGCTGCTCACCAAGTTTTGTTTGAATCAGAGATCCGAACTTTCCTTAGCAATAGCAATAGGAACTTAGCAATAGGAATCATTTATGAATAATTTTTTAATAAATAATTCTGAAGAACACATTTGATCACAATGTTTAAACAGTATTTCACAGATTCTGTCATGTCAAATTTTTGTTTTAGTTTACTGAAAAAAGATTGAAGTGAAACAAGTCATCTCAAAAAATTCCCCAAATTTTCTATCATTTGATTAAAAAATCCCCAATGTGGAAACATTTGGCGGCATTACAAAAACTGTCTTTGGTTCTCAACATCACTTCCTACTTTTCTGTCCGAACTTGCGACATAACGTTATGAAATTGCTAGGAATGCATATACTTTTCTTTTCAAAAGGATCAATCTGTATGACTGGATAAGTCTTTGTCACGTGTTTGCTTCTGTCATGTGTTTTAGTAGGCAGAAAGTATACAAGTAGGATTGAATTGCATTTACGCTAAATAAATTTGTTCACAAAATGGGAATGCATGCCATGCATTCTTGCTGTACAATCTTGCAAAATTGACTCTAAATACTTATTTTTTCATTTCAGTTTATTGGATATTTTAATAATGATGTTTTTACTTACCATTTATAAGTTATAAGTTTTACAGTACTTTTCATTGTCGACAGTTAAACATATTTCTTTACTGTCAACTATAAACTTGACTTTAACCATGGTGGTAACCATCTTTAATCTTTTTTTATCCAATCCAAATGATTTTATCTGCTGTTTGGATTAGTTTGATCACAGCCCAGTTGATCCTAGATGGCATTTGTACACACACAGATAGAGATTGATCAAATTGCTATAGTTTGTTTGTATACACAATTTGAATGATTAGAGTAATCTTGTATCAGTTTGATTCAAAAAGTATATGCACCCTAGGTGTGTGGTGCATGGGACTACCATTATATGGAAGCTCAACATTTTGCTGTTTTTTCCAAAGTGTGATTTATGCTGCTTGTAACAAGTGAACTATGGTTTTTATCACCACTTGCAATCACCAGTATCATACTTTTATCACCACTTTAATAAAATTATCACCAAGTGGTGATTTTGGCATTATGTAGTGCAACCCCTGGACCATTGCTCTCTAGTGACCTTTAGGAGACCTGTTGAAAATAGATGTTATATCAAAGTTTTTGTACAATATATAAATAATACATTACATAAAAAATAAATGGATTTAAAGCTTGATCAGTGATACTAATATAGATAAAAATTATTTGAAGACTGTTTTAATTAGTTCTGTTATGAGTTAGATTGAATTAACAATTCAGAAACATTTTTTTTCATTAGTATTTTTCAAAATATTTAAGACGTATGAAAATTTAAAGAAATATTATAGTTACAATATTCTTAAAATTTTTGTAAAATTGACTTCTTTCCACGAGGTGGCTTTGTAATCTGACAAATACCTCTTTTTTTTTCCTTTTTTTTTTAAAGTAAAATTCATTGTAAATAGCCTTGGTTATTTACAAAAACTGTATTGCTTCTCTGTAGCAAAGCAAACATCTGTCATGTCATATTGCAGAAATATTTTTTTTCATTAAACTGTTTGGAAGATTTTTCACCCATCAATATTTTGGAACTGTTGGAATTTCAACTGTTTTCAAGTTTAAAGAAACACATCTAGAGCAGCATTTGACATCAGATTAGAGCTATTAAAATAAGATTTGGTAATAGATGTAACATCAATTATCTTTATTTTTTTATTTGCATAATTTTGCCAATTTTCTCTCATAATGATGAATATGTGAACATAATCAGTACAGGAAAAAATTAACAATGAACAAACATGCACATGGCTTAGTATCATTTATGATTTTAGTATAAGAAAATAGAGAAATTTTAAATAAAATAGATAATTTTAATAATGTAGAATTAATAATGTATACTTTTTAAAATTGATATTTATTAGGATTAATTAAGTTAGGAGTAATTAATTAATTAATGTTGAATTTAACAGTTTAATTAAAAATATGGAAAATTGTAAAAACAAAAGCATCATTAATCTTCTTGTTATAATCTGTAAGATTTTAAATTTTATATCATTAAATTAAAGATAAAAGCTTTTTTATTTATAGTGGTCTACATTTTTATGATATATACTTTTTCAAGAATGACTTTTATTTATAGGAAATATATCACAATTTTGGATTATGTTTTATGCAACTTAAAGAATTTGATAAGGTAATGTTATAAATAATTGGATGTTTATGAATTTCTCTAAATTAATTTGCAAATAAAATTGATTTAGAATTTTATTATTTTTGTTAAAGTAAATTATGTAAAAATTTAAAACTATGCATAAAAAATTGAAATTAATTTCAATTTTAATTATTATAGTAATAATTCTAAATTGGTAAAATAATTAAAAACCATATTTAGTAATATTGAATTTATATATGTAAATTATTACTACTGTCTGACCACAGATCCCACAGCCCCAGTTGGCAGATTTCCCAGAATAAATGTATTTCCATGCTGAAGAAAGTGCATTGAACGGAAGTCAGTGTGCATTGTTAAGCACTATTATTGAGCTATTGTTTATGTTTTTTTCTTTCTTTATATTAGTGCACATTTCTATTGAATTAATTTGACTATGGATTTGACTTTTATGAGTTCAGGTAATAAGCAATTTTAAAGTCAAAGCAAATGCATCATTCACAATGAACTTAATATTATTCACAAGCAATTTATTCAAATTAATAAGTATAGATTCTAAAAAGTAATTGTTAATGAGATAACTATTAATAAAGTTCTAATTTCATTTGCAAATTTGTTTACTAATGTAAACTAACTAATCTTCTGAAGTAACTATCCTATTTTCGTAATAGACTTGTCTTTTTCATTCATGCATGTTTAGGACATGATCAGACAGTAGTAATGTATTCATCAAACAAGCCATATACTTTTGATTCTTTTAGATTTGATGCAGTTAGTTGTGATGACATTTGTAATGACACCACAACTAACTGCAGTAATTTTTAAGCATATTTACAAATATGTTTAAAAATTTATTAAATTATAAGATGCTTTGAAAGTTTTTATTTCTTAATAATTAATATTCATTGATGATAAAATCAAAGATATTAATAAAATCACTTTTATTTTAGCTAATTGTTAATCCTTTTAGAAGTATTGATGATTCAAGTATTTTATTATTTAGGCTAAAGAATGTTTTCAACAAGCATTACAGTTAAGACCTCACAGTCAAACATTTTCAGCTCTTGGAGAATTGCATATAAATGCTGGTGATTTAAAAGCAGCAATGAATGTTTATAAAAAAGCTTCAGAGTAAGCGATAATAAATATTTATTTTAACATAAGAAAATTCAAATAAAACCATATATAAAATCTTGACCTCAATTTTATTTCCAGTCATTTTCCAGAAAATACATATATTAATACACAGTTAGGATTACTATACATGCAGGTAATTATTTTTAAAAAAATTCTAAATTAATTTTTAACTGTTACTAGAACAAAAAAATTTTGTTAATTCATATGATATATGAGTTTAAAACATATTCTCTTTTCTTCCAATGCCTTGATATAGCATTACAGGTGCTATCATGCCATCAACAGATTCAGAAGATTTAGATATAAAATTAGGACATCTAACTAAGATGATGTCAGTTTACCCTGGAAAAGAACATCCAGGGTAGTTAATATAAGGAATGTTTTTATAGTCTTATTATTATTTTTTCATTATGAAATTTGACCAATTTAACTAAAAACTAAATAATAAGTTAATTTTTAGTTTTTGCTTTGTTTGAACTTTAAATTAAAAAGCTGATTTATTTAATTTATCTAACTGAATTATGTAAATTATCCCTGAAATCATATTGTAGGAAGTTTACATGAGAACAATCTTTCTTGCCATTGTGCCATTTATTTCCATTTAAATCATATTTTATTTGAAATCATCTATAACTAAATATGAGCAGCATTCACTACAAGGATTCCGTTAAGACAACTAAAAAGTTTTAATTTTTTCATTAATTAAAGTTAAATAATTTTTTATGTAAGAATACATTCAATCATTGCTAACAGTCGAGTATTTTTATGTATGGCAGACTTAAAGAACAATTGTATTGCATTGCACGTGCAAAGAATCTTGGGGAACAGTTGTGATCAGCCATTTAAGATACTGTACATTGTCTTCAAAATTTTACACCTAAATGATGGTAACACATTGAACAACATTCTCTGTATTTATCTATACGTCATGTACTAGTATATCACCATACAAACATATAAATGCTTTTTCATAGTGTTTCTGAGGTTTTGTTTTTCAGTGCCATTTACCCAGTAGCCGACAATTTTAGAACAAATTTTTCTTCAATGGCATTTACATGAATTTTAGTGACAATAAGCTTATTGGTTGGAACTACAGAATCCTTTCAATAGGACAACTTTAATTATGATTATCCAGTACAGTGGGTGATTGGTTAACGAACATAATCCATTCCAAGACTTTGTTCGCTATCCGAATTGTTCATTAACTGATTATTGATTTACCATAGGTTTCTATGGGAATTTGATTAATTTATTCTGGGAACTCCCAAAAAATAAAAAAATATATACTTTCTTAGTACGTTTATTCATATGTAATAATAAAAATACATATATACACAGTCTTGCATTTTTATTAGTCATGTTTTTTCCGTTTGTGGGGGTTAAAGAATCTGTCCAATGTCGATTGCTTTTCTGTCTTCTTCATGATTTTCCAGAAGTAATTAATCGCATTGTAATTGTAGAGATCCCTAAGCCTATTAACCTCAACCTGGTTTGGATGCCATTTTAAGACCATTGTTCTGACATCCTCCCACTTCTTCAAAAGATCTTTAATAGCAGATATCGGCATAAATCCGCATTTTCAGAAGAAAACGTAAAAGAATTGTTTCTATCAGAAATATAAAAGGCTGGAATTACAAGGGAGAGTTTCAAAATTCAGGGGAATACTATCCGATCAGTATATACTGGGTTGAACGTCAATGTCATCATCTTGTGCACACCGAAAAGTTTAGAATTGTTGCCTGAAGACAAAGGAAGACCAATTGGTATTCGTTATTTTACGTTGTTTCTTCTTGTGTTTGTTCAGTGAAGTGTTTGTTGTCCAATCATAAAAATCTTTCGCGAAAGTATTCATTATCCAATTTGTTCATTAACTGATCACTCACTGTATATTACATATATCTTTAAAAACTGTAATTTAAAAAATTACTAGATATGTTTACATATATGACAGATATTTAACAATGTATATAAATATATGTATACATTCTTAAATATCTGTAAAATAACTTTTATAATATATATTTCATCAAAAGTTATAATAAATCTTTACAATTGTGAGAATAGCTTGGAAACAAAGGATCAAGTAGGACAAACATACACTACCTACAAAGACAACTTCATTCAGCATAATAGAAAAATTTATTTGTAAAGCATTCAATAATCTAATAAATATTTGTTTGAAATCTGTAATTTCTTTAATTAGTTTATGTAAAAAATAATATTTTATTAGATAAATATATTTAAAAATTATAAAATTAAAATACTTAAGAATGCTAAATTTTAGCAAATTACTGTGCTTGTATTGATTACCAAGAATTACAAAACAAGAGATTATTAGATCTACAAATAGAAAATAATAAATTATTGAAAATTCAATAACTATTGTTTTATTTCAGCAAGATATTATAATAGTTTACAATATCAAAATACAGTGGTGTCTCGTATAACGTACTTAATCCGTTCCAGGTGAACGTTCGTTAAGTGAAAAGTCCGTTATACGAAATGCATTTTCCCATAGAAATACATGTTAAAACATATAATTTGTTCCACAGCATAAAAAAACTGTACTGTATCATAAAAAAAATGAAAATGGAGCAGTCACCAATTATGCCGGGTAGTCAGATGATGTGAGGAGGCGGTGGAGAAACACTTTCTTCACACATTCATACAGATACAGACTTTTTACACATTGCAGCAGGTCTCTTTTTATTGTTTTTTAATTGGAGTCAGATTCAGGAGAGGCTACTGGAACTTGCAAGGTCATCTCCTCTTGTTCCATCCTTTGTTTTTTGGTAGCTTGCTTCTTGGAAAACATGTTCCAAGGTGGTCTGTTTCTCTCTCTTCTTCAACACCTGTCAGAAATGACGGCAAGGGTGTCATTGTAGAGATTATTGATCCTGTTGGCCTCAGCTCTGTTTGAATAATGAGTGTTGGTAAACTCATTAACCTCTCACCATTTGACAAAGAAGTTTTTGTCAACTTTCACTCCTTCTGATGATGTCTTGCTTTGTTTCAATTGAAATCACCTTTGTTTTTTAGAAGCCATGATTTGCACAACACTTGAATAACTGTAAATACTCTGCACTGAGGTGATGTATGTAATAAACAAGGGAGCAAGCCAAATCCCAACGTGAGCTCTGTACTTCAGATACACTAATAATACCTTCTAATAATACTAATATATTATAAAAATAGCAGATGGTCATTGGCAACAGCAAAAGAGTGGAAACATCATTCGCACTTGTTCACAGAAAGACCACTGTTTGCCTCACGTAACTGCTGAACGGAAAGTCCGTTGCTCGAGTCACGCAACGGCCAAACAGAAAGTCCATTGTTTGCAGCGTCCATTATTCAAGGCGTACATTATACAAGGCACCACTGTTATTAATAATTTAATCAAATTTTATTCAAATAATAATTTAATGGCACTATATATTGTAAAATACCATAAGGCAGGTTTTTAAATGTTATTTTTCTGTTTTTTAATTTGAAAAAAATATTTTTTTTACAGAGAATAACAACTAAAAAGTTTTTCAATAATAGTTTTTTCTCATTGATATAAAATATAATTTTATATTTGTTATGATAAAACTTTAGTATCAGTATCATGTAAAAGTTTTAAAATTTTCTTTTGTGTGATGCTTTCTAAATAATAATGAAAATAATTTTATTATTGATTTAGTATATGTAATTAAAATTGTATTTAATATAATTTTACATGAAAATATAATTGTGTATTAATGTTTTGTTTAATTTAGTTTGAATTGTATATTAAGTTGTTTTATATTTTAGTGTGGAATGTATCAAAAAGCATTTGAAAAACTTGGTTCTGCCCTTGCATATGATTTAGAATATGTTCCATCTATCTTAGCTGCTGGGAATATAATGCAAACTCATGGAGATTACGATGTTGCCTTATCAAAATATCGTATAGCTGCAATGTCAGTTCCTGATAGTCCAGCACTTTGGAATAATATAGGAATGTGTTTTTTTGGAAAAAAGAAATATGTTGCAGTAAGTTAATTTTTTTATTACATGAAGATGAAATTTTTTAAACAATATATACAATAAAATCTATGTAAATTGGAAATGCACACTACTGAATATTTTTTGCAGTTTGGTGGGTTTCTGTTTTGATCAGGTTTTCTTAACATAGAAAATTGCTCTGTTCTGAAGAATTTTTCCCATTTAGGCAGGTTTTCATTTTATTCAGGTTTCACGTTAGACAGGTTTTACTGTATGTATCCATTGACTGCATGTTGTTTTTATTTATGCATTGACACATCCCTGAAATACTATATCTAGTCTGTTTTATATTAATGAAATATAAAAATTGTTAATTTAATCTGTCACTTTTTATCAGTATTGATTTCATTTTTATTGATATTAATTAAGACTTTTAAGAATCTATAACTCTGAAAAAATTTTGCATTTATTGGAAAATGCCAAATAAATCTTAGCTTGTTAACAAAACATTTTGATTTGAAATTTAAAATCATTCATAAATTTATCAGTTCTGTATCATATTAAAGACAATAGTAAAACATCCACTAACAAAATATTTTGTATTAGTTTTTGTTTTGTTTAGAGACACTTGTTCTTTTATGATTTAGTTTTCTCTTCATTTACATACATAAAAATAAAATGATTTTCAGAAATTAATAATTAAGCAAGCATAAGAAATAATTGTCACTATACTATATATATCAAAAATTTATTTTTCCATTTTTACTTAATAGCAATTAATAACTTTTAGTTTCTTTTAAATGCTAATTTGCATTGTGTAAAAAAATCAAATTGAGTTTATTAAATGAGAAAATCTGAATTTTTTTCTCATTTAATAAGCAATAAATTTGTTAACTTTTTTTTAAATAACAGTTTTCATATAAAATACTTTCATTTATTTTAAGATTAATAAACCTGTATTAATATAAGATATATGAATTTTTATTTAAAGATTGTAAACTTTAATTAAATTGGAAATTTTTTCTATTTCAAGATCAATATTTCAGTTACTTGGATAATAAAAACAAGGTTTATTTATTATTTTTTCAGTTTAATTTGAAAATGTCAATTAACTAAATGAAGTTACAATAAAATAATTATTTTATTTTACAACTGTTTAATAAATATTTTGTTTTACAGGCAATCAGTTGTTTAAAAAGAGCAACTTATTTAGCACCTTTTAGTTGGAAAATTTTGCATAATCTTGGACTTGTTCATTTAACTATGCAACAATATGCTTCAGCATTTCATTTTCTCAGTGCAGCAATAAATATCAATCCACAAAATGGACAGNCTCCATTATCCGGACCTCTATTATCCGGATTTTCGATTATCCGGATTGTTCAAAATAAACAAAAATTTTACGAATTTGCTGATTTGCACTTGGCAAATTATGATACTGTTATGTACGTGATGGAATGAATAACTTTTTTTGTTTCAACAAAGTCTCATCCAGCACAGTGGTCGTAAACTCTTAAATATATTTTGCGTCATAATAAAAACATAACGTGACATACGTATTTATAAATAATTTATATTCAAATTACATCATTTCTATGACCAAGGGCGGCGTATGGGCAACGTGGGCCACCACCTATGCCTCGCGGTCCGTAGGTCCTCACGCCTCGAAAGTTTATGCATTACTTAAAAGCCGCGAAAAAGTTTTAGTCGTCATAAAACGATAAATAGTTTGTCAAATTTTTATTCATAAAAATGCAGTTTCGACTGCTTTTTATTTTATAAAATCCGTCTTCTTGCGCCACCAGAGAGCCTTTTAAACAATAGGTAGTCTGTTAGCGCTGGTCAGTAGTAGTCCAAATTCAATACGAACGTTTGTTTCTTGAAAATTTGATCACGATTTAAATACAGTATTTATTTTTAATATTACCGATATGTGATCGAAAAGAAAATGTGTTGTATTATCATTAAAAGACAAAGTATTTGTTTCGATTATCCGGATTTTTCCTTATCCGGACTACATTCATCCCCAATTAGTCCGGATAATCGAGGTTCTACTGTATTTAAACACGCGGTTGTTATTTTTTATTGTACTGTGCGTTTAAATTTCCTTAGCTGTTTGGACAACATTCTTAGCTTTCGCTTTGAAATTCTGGACATATCAAACACAAGAACTATTCAATAGTTCATTGTCGTCGGTTAAAAAAGTAAAATAATAATTTACAATCCATTCATATTTAAGAGTTAGGAATTTATATTTAGTTTTTGATGCAGTTATTTAATATATATTACACTAGAAACTTATTTTTCTGAATTGTGTTTGTCTGAAATTCCAATATATTTGGGATCTGGATGAAAGTCAAATAATGTTACCATACAGCTTTTTAAAACTATAATTATATATTATTTTAAAATAATTTTTAATTTGTACAATTATTCACAATGAACATTGTTATATATATAACAATGGTATGTTATATATATATATATATATAGAACTAATTNATAAATGTAGTTTTGGCATCCTTCTTCTGCCACGTGACCTCCACTTCACGCGTATCATCCGGCAGCACGCTAAAATCGGATTTTAGCGACGTTGCCGACGATAAAGACAAGCTGCTGCTGCTGCTGCGCCTGTTACTGATAAGAACCGAAGATTCCGAAGAAAAAGGCGATGAAGTGGTTTCCTGTTCACCAATGTCGGAAGTGGTGGTGGTGGAACAGGAGAAAGACAATTGACTGTGCTCAGAGATGGAATCCAGATCACTACAGTCGCATTCCGTAACCCAAGTGAAACTAGAACTAACAAATAAATGTATCGGTTTAAAAAAAAACCCCTATTTATTAATTTAAAGAAGCAAAAATGAACGGTTTATTCACTTTCTAGACAGCTGAGGCGTTGTTTGAGTGACAGCATCTTTACGCATTACGATCGCCGTGACGTCTTCAGTTTCTACTTCTTTATTTTCGGGAGTCGGAGGCCTGTAAGCGCTGCTTTCCACCTTCTTCATGAAATCGCGAAGTTCCGTGTGACTCTGAAAGACATTTAAAACAATTTTAGGAAAGGTAAAATCGATCGCGTCACGAAAAAATATGTCAAGAAAGGAACACCCATATACCACTTTAGAAAATGATGCCGAGCGATTCGGAAGAACGTCTCTGATTGGTGGTTTCCTAGTGAATTCTTTAGGAAGTGACGAACTGTATTGTTCCTTACACGTCTGAATTTCCGATCTAGCGAGATTTTCTTCAGACTTGCATCTTTCTATCTCTTCGGATTCGGAATCTTGGTCCTCTTCGAATGGTAAATCCAGGTCACAGGAATCGAACGTCATTTCGTTTTTGAAGTTCATTTCGGAGGCGAAAATGTCTTCCTCGCTTAACTTCGCTTGAATGGATACGTCGCGATTGTCACTAACTTTAAAATCTTCACGAACGTAGTCATTTGAAGAATCTTCATAGTTGTCGAAAGAATATATGCTGGATTGTTTGAAGAGTTTCTTAAAGTCTTCGTTAGTAAGAGAAGTTAACCATCGTCCGTCGCAAACGTCCGTCCATTGAGTTTGAATTTCTACATCGCGCGTTAGAGGAGTGGAAAGTTGACGCCTGTACGTCCTCTGGGTGTTTGCTATACAAGAGGGACAAGAGGTGGCAACCTCCATCGACTTGGGCCTCACACGTTTCAAAAGTGGACATTCGGGGGCGTATTTACATTTTCGGTAAGGAAGGGTTGATTCCATTAAATCTTCGCTTTCCGGAAGAGTACTGTCGACCAGACGTGCGAAGTCTTCCGCCCACGTAACCAACAGATGAAAATCGCCACTGGGTGGTCGCGGGATGATCCACACATGTTCCTCTTCTTGAAAACGCTGCAAGTCGTTGAAGGCTCTACAGATCTCGTCCTAAAATAATCATTTATTAGTAATTTAAGTTATTAAAATTTTATTATATGTATAAATTTCAATATTTTTCTTACGTGAATTCAAATTTTTACGGCGGATAAAAAAAAACCAAGGGTAATTGTTTCAAAACCGATACATCATTTAAGAGGATAAAGCGGAATGTTAATTTTCGACGTCACTTCTTTTAAAAACGGTTCATAATTTCTGACATCACTACTATTGAATATAACGGAAACGACGTCAGAAATTAAATTGTTTAATTAATTCCTTCATTACTGTTTAAGACTCAAATTTTCTCAGACAATCTTCTAGTTATAATTCAATTATATACTTCTCTAATATTATAATGGAATTATCTGATTAAAAACAAATTTATTAAACTAATCTATAGAAAATGCAATAATTCATAATAAAGTTTCGTAAAATGCAAATCTCATTTGATCTATTCTCTCGTCAATTATGTTTAATTTAAATCAATTCTCTACCTTTGTGACATTATAATATGATTTATTACCAATAAAGAGCGTGAAAGATCATCGCGTGACCTTTAACATTTGACGAATAACACGTAATGTATTTTTGTGTCATCGTGTCAAGAATTCAAAATTTCAGTATCAGAGTTTCGTCCACTCAAAAGTTATACAAATTCTGACTAATACAGGCCTTACATTAGTCATTGTTTTTATTAGTCAAATTTGACTAATGGACACCGATTGACTTTTGGATGTTACTTTGAAAGTGTATATTTAGTTTTAATCATTTATAACTAAAAAAAACGGAATTTCTATTATTATATAAACACTACTTTCAAGTCGTAGTGGTTATTGATTGTCAAAACAACTCAAAACCGGAAACGGAAGTTCAGTTTTTCTAACACATCGAAGACAATATACCACAGTTTTAAATTTTCAAAGATGCATCCAATCAGAATAGATTTTTTTTTTTTCAAATTTGAAATCGAATAACCAAATAAATATAAAAAATATATATATATATATTTTTTTTTTATAATTATAGCAACAGATTGAATTTGTTTAATTCTTTAAATAATTGTATTCTATTTAGAATTCTTTAATACCTAATAATGAGTATATACTACTTGAAAGTACTTTTATTACAATTTTATTATTTTAAGCCATAGTAATTTATATATACAGCGGTGCCTCATATAACGTACACCTCGAATAACGGACGCTGCAAACAACGGACTTTCTGTTCGGCAGTTACGTGAGGCAAACAACTGTCTTTCTGTGAACAAAGTGCAAATGATGTTTACACTCTTTTGCTGTTGCCAATGACAATCTGCTATTTTTATAATGTATTAGTTTTATTAGAAGGTATTATTAGTGTATCTGAAGTACAGAGTTCACGTTGGGATTTGGCTTGCTCCCTTGTTTATTACATACATCACCTCAGTGCAGGGTATTTACATTTATTCAAGTGTTGTGCAAATCATGGCTTCTAAAAAAACAAAGGTGATTTCAATTTTAATAAAGCAAGAAATCATCAGAACGAGTGAAAGTTGACAAAAACCTCCTTGTCAAATGGGGAGAGGTTCAGGAATTTACCAACACTCATTATCCAAACAGACTGAAGCCAACAGGATCAGTGATCTCTACAATGACACTCTTGCCCGTCATTTCCAACAGGTGTTGAAGAAGAGAGAGAAACAGATTACCTTGGACATGTTTTTCAAGAAGCCAACTGCCAAAAAACAAAGGATGGAACAAGAGGAGTTGACCTTGCAAGTTCCAGTAGCCTCTCCTGAATCTGACTCCGATTAAAAAACAATAAAAAGAGACNTAGGACAGAGAGTTAAAATATATATATATATTTTTTCACCTAACCAATACATTTAACTAGGAAAACAAAATATATTTATAGTCTAAAACTTTTTGATATAATAAGATATTTTGCAATATAATATGCTTATATATTTACAATATAACACAGTGGTCAATAACTCTCCAATATTGCGATAGAATAAACATAGACAACATACAAATTCCAGCACACTTGAAATTAAGAAATATTTACTAACATTTTCATCTGTTTATAACAGACATCTTCAAGCATATAATGCAGAACAAAATGGCTACATTAAAATTGAACACATTTTCACAAATAATTTACATGTTCAAATTAAAATCATTTCTGGAACAAAGTGCGTCTACAGTTTAAAATTATTTTTGAATAACTTACAAAATGCGTTCAAATTATTTCCCGTAAAAAATTAGTATTTGAGATAAATTAAATATAAGTCTACCCCCTATAACACTGTTGATAATTCTCTTTTATATGAATTCCATGTTGTACGAGTCACTTAGATTTTACAAATACGTGTGCCGGGCTGTGAACGGCTCACGTATTTGTAAAATCTAAGTGACNCATAATTGTGAGATTGACACTTGATTTTGCTGTATTTCACGAAAATTTTAAGCCTAATTCTATATTATGATCTTTAAGAAAACGGAGGAAAACGTTTAAGTTTTCTTAAACGGAGTTTAAGAAAACTTATACTTCCACGAAGGAAGTATAACAATTTATTGTTAAAGGGATGAGAATGTCAACATTCACCCGTATAAACAGGATGAATCTAACATTGCACAAACCAAAGATTACTTTCTATGTCCCATTTCAACACACCTTCTTTGTCTCTCTGGATTACTTCTGACTGCACACACATAAACTCTCTCTCCATGTTTGATATTAGTTTATAGGAAAATGGGACCACACCTTGCAAAGTGACTCGTTTATGAGTAACATTTAGTTGTGCATTTTGTAACCCTTGTAACCTAGATTTAGCTCTTTAGATTAAACTTTGTTATGTTTATAAACCTGACTGCCTGTCATTTCTTGGAACCTATCGACTTACTCTCAACCTCTCCACTCCACTAATAGCCCTCCTAACCATCCAACAGGCATAGAGATCAGGTTTTACCAACCCCTGCTGATTAAATGGTCATTAGAGATCGCCACTCGACCACCGACTAATCGTCTCGTACTGTTTTTGCATATTAGAGGATATTTGATGATTTTAATAATTGCTACGTAGCCTTTTTTGAGCTACTGTATATATATAAAAAACAAATTCTGTGACATTAATTCATTTATAAATGTCAATCAAAAATTGTTATTTTGTCAAAAATATTATCAGAAATTGGATAAGCATAAAATAGAAAAAGTTAGAAAAGCTGTTAAAAAATAGAGAAAATTCCTAATTATTTTGATGTTTTGATGCATTACTACATTGTCTTTAAAAACAATTTTATTGAATAAATTCTTTAAGATTTGATGAATTATATTTGTGAAAAATTTTGTTAAAAATGTTTTATAAAATTAATATTCTAATATAAATTTTAAATTTAATTTCAGTTGCACTAAAACATTTACAAGATCCAGGGAATGCAAAACAAGCTTATGAACAAGCAATTCGTTTCGATCAGTAAGTGTTATTTTAAAACTATAAAACCTAAAGTATATTGGATAGAACAGATAGTTGCAAATATGTCAAGCACAGCTTTCAAATGTTCACAGTTTTAACATATAAATGAAATATATATTAACATTTATTCAAAAATCATTATATATAATGTAAAGAAAAATCTTTTATATAAACTTTTTGAATATAGAGAATCACACCTAAATGCAAAAATGCATTTAGGTGTGATTCTCTACATGTACAGTTCCAGTTTTTTGGTAAAGTTGTTGTTTATTATACCATATATGTAAAAAACAATACCAATATTATAGTGCTTCTTTTCTATTTCAATAATGTCTGATATTTATTTCATTTTGTCTAGCAATTGTTTGTTTTTTGTTTTTTTTTCTTTAGGAATGACCCTATTATTCAACTTAATTATGCTGTTTTCTTACACGGAATCGGAGAGCAGAAAGCTGCTATTACTCAGTTGCAAGAATTTCAACAATGTTGGACAAAAATCCAAAAATCTTCGGGAGGTGACATGAATGATAATGTAAGAAAAATGTTTTTGTACAACTTTATGTAAAAATTCAAACATAGTAATAATTATTTATAATTTTAGCTTCTAGCAACAGCAACAAAGTTAGCAAAGGCTTTACAAATAAATGAAAATTTAACAAGCGATCCACAAACAGAAGTAAAATCCGTCCAGCCGCAGCCATCAGAAGAAAATCCAAAATGATACATTAGTTACTGCAGCATTTCTAAATTATTATTTTATTATATTATCATCTAAATATCTATTGTATTTTTGTAAAATAATGCAAAAGAAGATAACTTGCTTAAGTATAGATATATTTAATTTTATATATGAAAAGGAGAAACATAAAATTATATTAGCAAGTATACAATGAATTTCTTTTGTTTCAGAATATGTGCAGATGAAATTAAACTTAACTTTACAGTTTGAAATGTAATACAGTAGAATTGTATTATAATTACAGATACTGTTATTAGTTGTTTAATAGTATCAGAATTAGCATGTCCCAAAATATATGCACTGTATTTTATGCCTTAAAAGACACATCATTGTTTTGGACACATCAGGTTTTTCACATTGATTTTTTGGGGAAAAATATTCTCAGTATAGGATGCATTTGGCTTATGGGACACATTCTAATTTTCAGATAAACTTTAGGTACAGAATAGTGCGTTATATAATAAGTATAAAACACACGAGTGGTGTACCCAGGATCTGAACTAGAGGGGAGGCAACTCATAGTTCCTTTTAGTGCAAGAATAGCAGCAAACAGCAAAATAGTTCTAAGATTTCACGACAGATGGCTCGATGGCTCTAGGCTCTATTCTATCACAATATTCATTATTCAAACTGATACTGAATTGATCCATCTGTGCTGTGTGTCAATTACTACACTTTAATTTTTCTTCTAGGGAGGGGCAGCTGCTCTTCCCTGCCCCTTGCTGGGTACATCCTTGTAACACACTATTAAGCGTATACAGTAACTCAAAAAAGTTTACGTGCAGCAGTTAAAAACTTTTTAAATGTCCCAAAAGACCTTGATATTATTCATTACTTCCATTTTTTTTTGTATTTAATGCTTAATGTATTGTTTATGAATATATAAAGTTTTTTAAACGATGAGCATTGAATATAAGCATGATAAAACAAAACAAATCTCTTACAAAATGTATGCCAAAAAAGTTTTCATACAAGTAGATTATTTCTCAAACTCTCACTCTAAAATATCTCTAAAAGTTCAAATATATCCATTACTAGCTGTTATTCATTATAAAAATTAGGCTCATTTTGTGACTGCTTTTTGTTCTTGCTAAATTCACAATATCATGTAAAGAAAATATTGATAATCTGAAATATGAATGGGAGTTGTCACTAAATATGCATCAATTAATAATTATACTTCATAATGAAGGAAAAACACTTCATGAGATAGGAAACATTATTGAAAAAGCCTATTCAAGCATTAAAATGGTAATTGATAACTTTAAAGCAACAGGTAATATACTCTCAAAGTCTAGATCAGGATTACAAAAATATTAACACCTCAAGAAGAATGAAAAATTATAAAGAAAGTAAAAATAAACTTGAAAGTAAATAGCATCAGAAACGGCTACATCTGGAAATAAAAAGGTTAATACAGAAAAAATACTCAATATTTTAAGAAGGGCTAATTATGTACTGTCAGACTGAAACCATTGATTTTTAAAATCAAAAGAAGATTCAGAATTTGCATAAATATTAGGGAAATCAGAATACTTGGAAGTATGTATTATTTAATGATGATAGAAATTGGGATTAGAGAATAACTTCATATTCCAATAGGATAATGACACATTGTTCACATGGACATTATCTTCATATATTGTGTGAGAATGGTTACTGTATAATGTTCAAAGACAATGGTGTAGACTTCTATAATCACCCCAAAGATCATTTGTGGAATTTATTAAAACAACTAATATGCAACCATATTACATCTAAAAATACACTAAATGCAACCTTGCAAGAAGAATAGTATAAAATAGATGAAGAAGACACTTCAAAACTAGTTTCATCAAGGAGAAACACATTTAGAAGTTATTAGACAAAAAGAAATTGCTACAAATTATTAGCATGAATTTGGTTAAGTTTATTCTATACAGCTTGTATTTGTTTTTTTCAAATTTCTGCATCTTGCTAATATTGTTATTTTATGTATAGTGCTAGTTACTTTTTAATTTCTTATTATATATATGATGTATATATAGACAATTACAATAATAAATATATACAGTGTTCTGAAGCATAATTGTGAGATTGACACTTGATTTTGCTGTATTTCACGAAAATTTTAAGCCTAATTCTATATTATGATCTTTAAGAAAACGGAGGAAAACGTTTAAGTTTTCTTAAACGGAGTTTAAGAAAACTTATACTTCCACGAAGGAAGTATAACAATTTATTGTTAAAGGGATGAGAATGTCAACATTCACCCGTATAAACAGGATGAATCTAACATTGCACAAACCAAAGATTACTTTCTATGTCCCATTTCAACACACCTTCTTTGTCTCTCTGGATTACTTCTGACTGCACACACATAAACTCTCTCTCCATGTTTGATATTAGTTTATAGGAAAATGGGACCACACCTTGCAAAGTGACTCGTTTATGAGTAACATTTAGTTGTGCATTTTGTAACCCTTGTAACCTAGATTTAGCTCTTTAGATTAAACTTTGTTATGTTTATAAACCTGACTGCCTGTCATTTCTTGGAACCTATCGACTTACTCTCAACCTCTCCACTCCACTAATAGCCCTCCTAACCATCCAACAGGCATAGAGATCAGGTTTTACCAACCCCTGCTGATTAAATGGTCATTAGAGATCGCCACTCGACCACCGACTAATCGTCTCGTACTGTTTTTGCATATTAGAGGATATTTGATGATTTTAATAATTGCTACGTAGCCTTTTTTGAGCTACTGTATATATATAAAAAACAAATTCTGTGACATTAATTCATTTATAAATGTCAATCAAAAATTGTTATTTTGTCAAAAATATTATCAGAAATTGGATAAGCATAAAATAGAAAAAGTTAGAAAAGCTGTTAAAAAATAGAGAAAATTCCTAATTATTTTGATGTTTTGATGCATTACTACATTGTCTTTAAAAACAATTTTATTGAATAAATTCTTTAAGATTTGATGAATTATATTTGTGAAAAATTTTGTTAAAAATGTTTTATAAAATTAATATTCTAATATAAATTTTAAATTTAATTTCAGTTGCACTAAAACATTTACAAGATCCAGGGAATGCAAAACAAGCTTATGAACAAGCAATTCGTTTCGATCAGTAAGTGTTATTTTAAAACTATAAAACCTAAAGTATATTGGATAGAACAGATAGTTGCAAATATGTCAAGCACAGCTTTCAAATGTTCACAGTTTTAACATATAAATGAAATATATATTAACATTTATTCAAAAATCATTATATATAATGTAAAGAAAAATCTTTTATATAAACTTTTTGAATATAGAGAATCACACCTAAATGCAAAAATGCATTTAGGTGTGATTCTCTACATGTACAGTTCCAGTTTTTTGGTAAAGTTGTTGTTTATTATACCATATATGTAAAAAACAATACCAATATTATAGTGCTTCTTTTCTATTTCAATAATGTCTGATATTTATTTCATTTTGTCTAGCAATTGTTTGTTTTTTGTTTTTTTTTCTTTAGGAATGACCCTATTATTCAACTTAATTATGCTGTTTTCTTACACGGAATCGGAGAGCAGAAAGCTGCTATTACTCAGTTGCAAGAATTTCAACAATGTTGGACAAAAATCCAAAAATCTTCGGGAGGTGACATGAATGATAATGTAAGAAAAATGTTTTTGTACAACTTTATGTAAAAATTCAAACATAGTAATAATTATTTATAATTTTAGCTTCTAGCAACAGCAACAAAGTTAGCAAAGGCTTTACAAATAAATGAAAATTTAACAAGCGATCCACAAACAGAAGTAAAATCCGTCCAGCCGCAGCCATCAGAAGAAAATCCAAAATGATACATTAGTTACTGCAGCATTTCTAAATTATTATTTTATTATATTATCATCTAAATATCTATTGTATTTTTGTAAAATAATGCAAAAGAAGATAACTTGCTTAAGTATAGATATATTTAATTTTATATATGAAAATGCCTATCATGTTATCTAGAAACTAATTATTTAAAAATTATAATTTATATTAAATTTATGTAAATATATGGTTAATGTCAAAGTTATAATTACACAATAATTATTTAAATAAAGTTTGAATTAAAAAAAAATTGTTTTGAATCTAGTTACTACTACAATTTTTTATGTATAAGTTTATTTAAGTGAATTAATTATAATTATTCATAATTTAAGACATAAAAGGATTGTATTTATGAGTTGCACTTCAAATAATTATAATTATTCATAATTTAAGACATAAAAGGATTGTATTTATGAGTTGCACTTCAATATCTTAGATTATAAGCGAGATTAGCATAATGCATGGNAAAAAATTGTTTTGAATCTAGTTACTACTACAATTTTTTATGTATAAGTTTATTTAAGTGAATTAATTATAATTATTCATAATTTAAGACATAAAAGGATTGTATTTATGAGTTGCACTTCAATATCTTAGATTATAAGCGAGATTAGCATAATGCATGGCTTAAAATGACGTTTAATTTTATGAACAAACAACATTGAAAATGAATTAATATTAAGTAAAGAGATAAAATTGAATCTCATTTTCAGTTATTTTATAAAACATAGAGCCTAAATCCAATAAATGTAAAAATTTTTTTAATGAGTTTAAAATGTTCAGTTATAGATAAGTTATTGTCCATATAGTTTCTGACATTTTAAGCAATTAAAATAAAGTAAAAACTTTTGCAAAATTAGATTTTCAGCCAAAATTTGTCATTACTCCAAACATTTCTTTAAGAATTTCTGTAATGGTACTTGGAATGAATATAATAGTACACCTATTAGTTATTGCATAATTTAGTCTACATTAAATTGTGATATAGCAGAAATTCCTATATTAGAACTAGTCTTTAATAGTAACATTGCGCAAGTTACGCAACAATTGTTGGTCTTAGCTACCTGAGAAAGTCTCCCGTTACATTTTCTCGAAGGCAACATGATGCTTTCTCGTGAACTATTAACCTCTGCACGGCCGAAATCGTCCGTGAATATCATCAGAGACGGCCGAAAAGAGTCAGTCGCCGTTTTAGTCCTCGGAGAGGAAAGAAGTCGTCGCCCATTTAATAGTCGCCCATAGGATAACCTTTTTTGTGTGTGTGTTAGTGCACGATCAAGCCTGGATAAATCAAAAGGGACATTTTGACTGGATATTTCACCCCTGGATACATTCTGAAACAGCCCATAAGAACTATTACCTCGTTCTCCGATTCAACACGACCCGACAGGGATATCTATTACCAAAGGTATTTATCACCACGCGAACCATATGTGAACTCTCTCCGCGACAACACTTTATCCAATTTATTTTTAAATAAACCCTTGTTAATAGTTAAGTGTATCTGAGTCACTTCCACATGTCTCTCCATCGGTTAACCTTACGAATCCGTCTGACCACGTAGAGGACCGCTCGCGCAATGGTGTGATGTAATTGCCGTCTCGGCTTCAGTGCTCCGTTAAACACGGTGGCACTAAGGAGGTGCCGACCCGAAAGGTCACAAAATTTAAATTATATACACATCAATTCCTTAAACTATAATACGAAATTTTCTATATTAAGCAAGCATCTAGCTCAAGCAAATATTTGAAATTTTAATTAAAGGAACGTTAATAAATAGAATAATAATATTCGAAATTTATAATAGATGGCACTAATGGACGAATTCTACGGAAACAAACTAATTATTTCAATACTTTAACTCAGTATTTAAACAATGGTAAATTATTGCTGCATTAGAGATCAGAAATACTTCAAATATCCAGAGCCTTGTTCAGTTCAGTAATGCAGAATTCATGTTATGTCTAGTTATGCTAATCTTGAACTAGTTCCTAAAGTAATCCCTACTTCTAAAGTTCTAAGTAGTTCGGTCAACATTCTGGGAAAGTGGGGTAATGTCGTGCCTCTAACCCCCGTATTCACCAACGCGAGTTAGAGTTAGGGTTAACTCTCGAGTTATTGGTAAATTGGCATTCACCAACTCCGAATCTCGAGTCAAGCACAATAACTCTAACTCTAACTTTAGAAAATCGGCGAGTAGACGATAACTCTAGGTTTGACACCTGCGCGAAGCGATCTATTTCAGGGGAAAATGGCGACATTCGACGGGGACGAAGCCGAAATGCTAGAAAATCTGAAATATCTAGATTATGTAGATCGTATGGAACGAAGAAGTCGGCAGATTATTTCTCCAAGAAGAAACGACCTTGAACAATTGGACGATTACGACTTTCTATGTCGATATCGTTTGCCAAAAGAGAGCGTAAGAAACGAATTGGTCATCATTTAGTTTCAACATCATCGAAAAATTATGCGATGTCGCCGATGGAACAACTGTTGTTGGCTCTACGTTTTTATGCCACGGAAACATTTCAGTTGGTCGTAGGCGATTTAAATGATTTAAGTCAATCATCTGTTTGTAGAGCGATTAATAGAGTCAGTTTTTTAATTGCTCAAATCTCAGCAGATTATATCCAGTTGCCTAAAACAGAATCTGAAAGGAAGCAAGTAAGTAGGCCTAATATCCCTTTATCTTTCGCTACTATAGTAATAAAATAATTTTATCTTGTTTTTTTTACAAGTTTCTATATTAGAATCATTAATTTAAATTATATATAGTCTTTATTCGTTTAGTTAATACATTACTTTTCAAAGTATAAACTGTAATCTATACTAATGTTTGTAAGTTTGTTTGCAACAGGTAATCTCCGAAACTACTCGTCTGATTTCAAAAATTCTTTCACCAATATTTAGAATGGAACTTCAGGGTGGACATAGGCTGTATATTATTCCGTTAAACATTCATATAAATTAAAATATATAATCTAGGTTAAGGCTTTTATGTGCAACAGATGGCGCTACGAGTACGATGCCCTAAGTTTGCTTTTCTGTGAAAATGAACTAGAGCGGATCATCATCTATCTACGAGGCGTGTCCGGAAAGTAAGTACCGTTTTGGAAAAACTCACATAAAAAATATTTTTTCAAAACGAAATTTATTTTTACATGAAAGAGCATGTTGGAAACTATTTTTCTACATAGTTACCACCATTGTTCAGACATTTGCCATATCGGGAAACCGACTTGTCTATACCCTCTTCAAAGAAAGATGCCGCCAGTGAAGACAGCCACTGCTGAACATTGATTTGTGACAATCTCATGCAAAACAATTTTGAAATTTGTGGAAACTCATCACAAAGCAATCTTATTGGAACCGTCTGTTTTCAAGAATTTTCTCATTCACTTTTGCAATCAAACCATCATTGACAACAGAAGGACGGCCACTCCGTGCTTCGTCATGAATATTGGTGCGTCCAGCATTGAATTGTCGAACCCACTTTCTCACTATTCCATCACTCATTACATTTTCACCATAAATCTCTACAAGTTGACGATGAATTTCAACTGGCTTAACATTCTTTGCGTTCAAAAACCGTATTACAGAATGCACTTCACAGTCGGCAGGATCGGCAATCGTCTTAACATTTTGAACGCTCACTAACACATGGAAAAACAACACAATCTGTCTCTAATGGCGTCACTGGACTGACAATCAACCAGAGACACGTGTATGCAGGTGCTGAACTGCGATACTACCACTGCGGTGGCGGTAAAACAAAACGGTACTTACTTTCCGGACACGCCTCGTATCTGTATAAATAAAAATATAATGTTCGTTTGTTCCTACCGATTCCTTTGAAATTTTGACACAATGCTGCATTCGAATACGCACGTGTTTTTATATAATATACCTGTCGAAATCTCCCCGGGAGATGGACAGGATTAAGGCTTACCGTAAAGAACTCTGCTTCTATTTATACTATTTTAGATGCGGTTTTTTTTTGTGTTTTTGATTGCGTTTTAATAGGGTACGTCAACAGAATATACACTACAAAGGGATTTTTCGATATTCCCCCGCGGGGGAGAGGGACAGGATTAAGACTTGCTGTGAAGAACTTGGCTTCTATTATACTATTTCAGATGCGGTTTTTTGCTTTTTTGATTGCGTTTTAATAGGGTACGTCAAGAAAATGTACACTTAAGGGATTTTTCGAAAAATTCCCCCCCACGGGGGGAGTGTTATACATTTATAATAGATACATTTTGAGTCACAACAACGCATGGTGGGGTCTGCTAGTAAAATATAAAAATAATAGATCAAGTATATATTTATATTTTCAGATAAGTCAAGACTTTTTTCATTTGAATGGTTTTCCATGTGTGTATGGAGCCATTGACTGCACCCACAATCCAATTCAGTCACCGGGAGGAGAAACTGCTGAATTATTTCGAAATAGAAAAGGATATTTTTCTATTAATGTTCAGACAGTTTCAGATAGCCAACTTAAAATCAGAAATATAGTAGCTAGATGGTCAGGTAGTTCTCATGATAGCACTATATTTGCCAATAGTCATCTGTGTGCTGTGTTCAAGCAGGAGACATTCCATCAAAATATCATCTTGGTTACAGTGGATATGGATGCAAGGCATATATATTAACACCAATATTAAATCCAGAAGGTGATCAAGAAAAAAGGTAATTATTACTTTTATAATAGCCTATATATTATTAAAATGTATTTAATGCATAATATAGTTTTAAATGATCATATATATTTCAAAATTAATACTAATTATTTTTTCTTTGAAAGATATAACAGATGCTACATAAAAGCACGGAACACAGTAGAATGGCAATATGGTTTATGGAAACGACATTTTCCCTGTTTATCTGTAGGTTTACGTTGCAACCTTCAAAATGCTATGGCTGTCATAGTTGCCACAGCAGTGCTTCATAACATTGCAATTTCCCATGGAAATATGACAGTTCCAACAGAATTTGATATTTCCATGAATGAAGATGTTCCGGTGCCTGTTGTCAGAAGTCAGGATGCAGCTGGATTTGCAAAGAGAAATGCATTAATAGCAGATTTCTTTAGAATTTAACTTTTGAAATGTTTGCATAATCTTTTAAGGTTATCCAAACATATTTCAGACATTGTTATTAAATTAAAAGGCCCTTTTCAGGGCCATAAATTTTCCTTAAGAGTTAGCTAAATCAATATAAGTAAAAAATTTGGCAGTTTTATTTCACCAAGCAAATGAAAAGTAGACAGGAATCCTGTTGAAAGGCAATATTGTTTATGACAGACATTACCCATGCCTTTCTATTGGACTACATAATTTGCAGAATGCAGTGCATATTATAGTTCTTCACAATATTGCACTATAAGATGAAAGTATAGCATTATTTCATGATGATGATAATGCTCATTTTTTAACTTCAGATGTGCCTGTACAACTATGTAAATACCAGAAATGTTCAAGGTTTTGTGAAAAAGATGCAATAATTCAGAATTTTTTGTTTAATGTTAAAATAAAAATTTCATATATTTTTAAATAAAATTTTGTTGTATTCTTATTACTGTAGTACCTCAGGATACAAAATTAATCCGTTCTGAAACTGAGATCGTATCATGAAAATGTCGTAAGATGAATCATTTTTCCCCATGTGATTACATGTAAAACCAAATAATCCGTTCCAACATGAAAAACACACTCAAACTAAAGCTAAGTAGTACATTGAAAAAAAATAACTTTAGTAAGGAAAACACTGAAAAATGCATTTTGTAGTTGTAAATGTATAAATAACCATAATAGAATAATAGTTGATAAAAAAA